AAAAAAAAAAAAAAAAAAACAGGCCTAGGCATCCTATTATGGCCCAAAATGGTACGATAGGAGCCATGAAGTCAACACACCAGGCTGGTTCAAAATTTAAACAATGAATTTTGAACTTTTAATGGTAGCACTGCATTGAAAGATGGAATGACTGTAACAAGTAGTAAGAAAAGGACTGTTTTCAACTGTTCAGGGCAAAATATGAGCATTTTGCAGTTGGTTCTGAATTTTTATTTTTATTTGCAAATCAGAAAAAAATGAAGAGGCGAAACCAAGAAATTAAATTGGTGTGGCCTTAAGACCGTATAGTTTGTTAGCCAGCCATCCTTTAGAAGTGCTACAAATTTATTACTTTCATTAGTTGATGACGTATTTTTGTTACCTCAGAACCGAGTCCTGCAGGGTTGCGTGGAGGGAGACTTCGCCACGTGCATCAGCCTGTACCACGGCTACGAGCTCCTCCTCCAGCACGGCATGAAGTCCTTCTACTCATTCCTCGCCAACATCATGGAGGATGAGAAGGGGTCCAAGAAGAAGAGAGAGCTGGCACAGAACCCAGACTTCATGCTGATGATGAGTGAACTGAAGGAGATGTTCAACCCCAGTGATGGTAGTGGCTCAGGTGGAGGGCATGCACTGTTCAGTGGCCAAGGTGTGTGTTACTGTGGTGTTTGGTGTTGAATAGCTGAGTGGTTAGGCTAACAGACATGAGATTGTGAGGTCACGTATTCCCTGCAAGACATTGTATCCTTGGGAAAGGCACTTTATTATTGACTTTCCTCATTCCACGCTGATGTAAAATGGGTACCTTACTTCAGTTTGGGAGGTAAAAGGCAGTGGAAGGAGAGAGATAGGCCAACATTGTATCCTAGACATACCCACTGTCCTAATAGTAATACGGTCTCAAAAAGGGCTACCTTTAAAGTACCTTTTTACATTTTGCTTAGGGTCTAATGTGTATTGTGTCTACATTTTGTCATGGGTTGGAAAGATAAAGCTGAGATGACATAGCTTAGTGCACATTCAGAATGACTCTGCTAGTACTTAGTAGAAGAAAAATATATGCAATTCTGTGACTCATTCAGTGAATCATTCATCTGTTTATTCATAATACTTCATTCATTTTCAAATGCATCCATCCATCCACGCATTCATAAATCCATCCATCCTTGCATTCACACATCCAACCAGTCCATCCATTATGCTGATATGCTGTGTTTTTTCTTGCTATACCAGGTGTCTGCACCTCTCCGAAGACTTTTACCCAGAGGAAGGGTCCCAGTTCCCAGAAGCCTGTGGTTGTCAGTCATCCCAAACTGGCCAAGCTGGAGGAGGTGGTGCAGCAACACTTCCAACAGTTCGATAATGGTAATGGTTAATTTTGATACTTGATATTTTACAGTTTCCAAACAAAATGCAGGGAATAAATCTTCTTTATTGATGTCAGTTTTGCAATCAGTTGTAATGTACTTAAGCTTCAAAGGTCATGTGTTGTTTGGTATATCATTACATTTCTTTACATTTTGTTTGTTTGTAGTGGTATACTGTGACTGTTTGGTCTTTCTAAACTGTAACAGAATAAAGGATTTCTGTCAACTTCCTTATACTATTCAATTCTGCTTTCCCTTTGTCAGGTTCTGGGAGAAATGTGACTTGTAATCTTTCTCACCGTCTCATTATGCATAAATTTCACGGCAATGAATGGCTCAGTGCTAAGGTGTCCTGGTTCAATTCCCTGCACTCCTGGTTTGATGCTGTGTCCACTTAACTTTACAGGACTTTTCTCACTTCACCCAGGTGTAAAATTGGTACCTGACGTTAGTTAGGGAGGTTAAAGGTGGTGAAAGGAGAGGGATGGGCTTCGCCTTCCAATATTATGCCTAGACACAGTGAAGTAACAAACCACTACCTCTACGGCCTGAAAAAAGCTACTGGACTACATTTACCTTTTTATTTCCACAGAAGCAGCAGGTAGCAGTACCCAGGCAGCTGTGAAACCAGCGGCCACCCGTGTCATGATCTTCGCCCAGTACCGCGACAGCGTACAGGAGATCGCCGACATCCTCAACCAGCACCGACCTCTGGTCAGGGTCATGACCTTCATCGGACAGGCCTCCACCGGCAAGGTCAAGAAGGGCTTCACGCAGAAGGAACAGCTGGCCGTAAGTTCATCATCTCAAAATGATTTTACAGTACGACACAACATGTCACTGTGGAGTACTGATTTTGCCCTGATATCACTGCATCAAGGTCACTAGATTTTTTGAATGACCAGGTGCAAATACATAATCTGTTTATGTAGTATGTTGATATGTATACAGTATGTTGTTGCAAAATTTCCAGCTTTTCCTAGTGTTTTTGTATTCAAAATGTATATTGCAACACTATGAACAAAAATAAATTATGATATAATTAATTACAAAATGAAAGTTGTGGTGAGGACGTACAAAAATGTGATATGGGATTAAAAGAGATCTAAAAGCCAAATGGTATATCTATTCTAAGGTTTACTTCATTATGTAAGGATGAAATATCAATGATATCCTTCTCAGGTGATGAAAAAGTTCCGTGAGGGTGGTTACAACGTGCTGGTGTCCACATGTGTGGGTGAGGAGGGGCTGGACATCGGGGATGTGGACCTGATCGTGTGTTTCGATGCACACAAGAGTCCCATCCGACTGGTGCAGAGGATGGGTCGTACAGGCAGGAAGAGACAGGGCAGGATCGTCATGCTTGTTACTGAGGGAAAGGAAGAAAGGGTTGGTATCTATTTTCAAAGTAGCACGTCTAACAGTTTACTTATCATTTTAGATCCAACTTAAAAAGGTTACCATTTTAGAGACTGACGTGTACATTTTAACTTCATACTGTCTGGATGTACACTAAAGTAAACTTTCATGATACATGTAGTTGAATGTCATTCATTTGTGTATGTAAAATTTGGTATTTTATTTGTCATGTCATAAACATGAGTTGTGTGTTCATTGTGGCATTTGATATCAATGTATTATTTTCACATCTTTTCAAGTTGAAGCAATCAGCTGTAGTGTTTTTAACTACCATGTTGCCTTTTAAAGTCAAAGTCTTTTGTTAACCTTACTTCCAGATCTACAACCAGAGCCAGTACAGTAAAAAGAGCATCCACAGGGCCTTACAGGGCAGCACCAGGTCACTGAACTTCTACATGAACAACCCCAGGATGGTCCCCCGTGGGTTGAACCCTACTGTACACAAGATGCACATCACGGTGGGGAGCTATCACTGCACAGCAAAGGGGAAGGACAGGAGGGGGTCTGTTAAGGGGAGCAAGGCCATCACTTCTTTCACGAATGCACAGCCAAAAGGTACCTTAATGTGTATAACTTGTAAAAGGTAACTTCCTTTCCTATAATTTGTACTGAAAAGATTTTGCTACATGTTTCCTTACATAGTAACCAACTGTGCTCTACTTGTTCAGGTAAGGTTGGGAAAGATGATGGGTTCCTGACAGCACAGGAGCTCGCTGTCTGGAACGAGAGGTACAAGCTGTCAGCCGAGGAGGAGAAAGCTGTCCCCACTCTACAACCTGCTCGTTTTGTGTACTTAGAAGACACAACAACAAGGGTGGGTACTTTTAGATGTGATCCTTGCTTATACATATAGCAATTCCCAGTTTAGTGCCAATGAGAGGTCCTGTCACATATAAGTAATATTTAGTGATGGTCAGTTCAGTACCAAGGAGAAGTCCTGTCACATGTATGTAATAGTGATAACCAATTCAGCACTAAGGATAGGTTCAGTCACAGGTATGTAATAGTTAGTGATAACCAGTTCAGCACTAAGGAGAGGTCCTATCACAGGTATGTAATAGTTAGTGATAACCAGTTCAGCACTAAGGACAGGTCCTGTCACAGGTATGTAATAGTTAGTGATAACCAGTTCAGCACTAAGGAGAGGTCCTATCACAGGTATGTAATAGTTATTGATAACCAGTTCAGCACTAAGGAGAGGTCCTATCACAGGTATGTAATAGTTAGTGATAACCAGTTCAGCACTAAGGAGAGGTCCAGTCACAGGTATGTAATAGTTAGTGATAACCAGTTCAGCACTAAGGAGAGGTCCTGTCACAGGTATGTAATAGTTAGTGATAACCAGTTCAGCACTAAGGAAAGGTCCAGTCACAGGTATGTAATAGTTAGTGATAACCAGTTCAGCACTAAGGAGAGGTCCTGTCACAGGTATGTAATAGTTAGTGATAACCAGTTCAGCACTAAGGATAGGTCCAGTCACAGGTATGTAATAGTGATAACCAGTTCAGCACTAAGGAGAGATTAGTTAGGCTAGGTCAGTACCAAGGAGCAGTCCACAGGTATACTATATATGTTAGTTATAGTGCGTTGTTTTTAAATTGGTGCGTATTTGAATTGCTACATTTATTTTACCTCCTCATATCACACTTTATTAATCAAGATGTATCATTTTTAAAAAGGACCAGCCAAAACGACCCAGCCTGTCTCTCACAGAATGGTCCCTCTGGCAGAGCAGACTGCAGCCCACTCGCCTAGTGGGACATTCACAACGGTAGGAGTCTAGTAACGCCAAGGACTGTCTTCTTGTTGTAACTTTCACATTTGATGGAGAGCAAGAGAGTAAGGTCATGTATAAAGTAGTCATGTCTTGAAGGCCATAGGGTCTTATTACATCAGCTAAGGTTAGTCTTACATTTTTATGTGTGCAAAAAGGTATGGTACAATTGTTTATTGTAATTATGATTGTTAAGTGAATTTGTTTTTGTCACATTATGATGAAGATGCTAAAATGCATAGTGAGTGGGTAAGTCAGTCAGTCATTGATGACTTTTTAGACCCATGAATAAAATCTGTAACCTACTATGAAGAAGAAGTTTCTGCTATTCCTCAGGTGCAAGAACTTTGTAGAGCTCATGGAGTTCATCGACCTTCAGAAGGACACTGAGGATGAGGACAGCTATGCCATGGAGATGAAGGCGTTTCTCAACAAAGACGACATCATCACGACAAACGGTACCTCAGGCGGCGACATCAGGAGCTTTGCTACGGAGCCCAGATCCAAGAAAGAAATGCAGCGAAATGTGGAAATGGGAAAGAGGAGAAGTGAAACATTTCAAGTCAATGAAGCTCAGCCTATAGATTCTGATGATGACTTGCCTGTCATAACACTCAATCCAGGCAACACAAATACACATACTGGTGATAGGAATGGCAAAGGTGACAAAGTAAGGGGCTCAAAAGATAAGAAGAAGTCGCCCAGAGGTGCTAACAGCCTGCCTAAACAGAAGAGAAAACCCATAGTGGTTGAGCTTGATCATGACTCGGACTTTGAATCACAGGAAGGCAAGACTAAGGAACACACCTCAGGAAATGATGACTCTTCTGTGGGTAGGAGTTTGCAAATGGAATCAGAAGTTGTTCAGGAAAACAGAGATGAAACATTGCAGTCTACTTGTAAGACTACAAGGCAAAATGATGTTGAGAGCGAAGGCTATGTCCCCTTTGATGATGATGGTACAATTCAACAGAATAATGTAACTGTCACAGCACCAGCAGCTGATGCAATGGACATGGAAGAAGAAGACGAGGAAGATAAATGGGAAGCCATTTTCCCAACATTTTCAACAAAAACTTACAGTAAAAGTGCAATATCTGAGTTTACAGGAGACATTAGTAGGTATAGAGTACCAACCCCTCCATCTCTTGACTCTCTTGATTGGTTGGAGAGACTAGAGAAAGAAGTGAGTTCCTCTATTGAAGACAATTGGAAAGATAGTGAAGAGGATTTCGTTAAACAGCCATTTCCTTGCAAAAAGTCACTTGTCTTTGAGGCTGTCAGTAGCAACATCCCTGATGCAGATGTTCCTGCATTGCACAGGACAGAAAATTCAGATTTGCAAGAAGAGGATATGGAAAAAACCAAAGACAGTAGTGGGATACAATGTGTAAAACACTCAGTAGTGGCCCTAAGATATCTAGAGAATGAAAACATAACCAGACCATGTCACCAAGATATGTCCAGGTCAGTTCAAAATAGCACAGATTCCCATCAGTTCAATAACGTGTTAAAGACTGATGCAGCCAAGACTGATAACTTACCAGTTCAGCCAGACAAAATTCAAGAAGAAACAAAGAAAGTGGAGGAGAGGGACGTAGAGGGGAGTGACAGTGACTCCCTGTTTGGGAATGGAAGTGATGACATGTTTGCAGAGATGGAAATGGAGTCAGAGACTGTTCAATGTACTGAAATGGAAAATCAGGCGGCTACAACTGTTGATGATCAAGTTTCCATTAAAAATACTCCAGAAGCAGGCAAAAAAGATGTAGAAACAAATCAGCAGGTCTCTCCTGTGTCAGACATCCAACATACGTTTCCTTCAAACTGCAGTCCTCCATCTTTGTTTTCTGATTATGAGGAGTCTTTCCATGCAGAGGTAGATTCTAAAGCAACCACAGTTCGAGGCAACAATGGAAAACTACCAACAGTTCCTTCCGTTGGTACCAAAACGGCCCCACCTATACAACAGTTTGTTGCGGATGATAGTTTGTTGGGAGCAGACATTGATGTTGGGGTGACACATACTGATGGAGGACAGAATCCTGTGGAGGAAGAGGGGTGGATTGGTGTGAACTTTGACCTGGGAGGGGACAGTCTTTTGGAACCCCAGTTTGACCTGCAGTTCAGTGATGAGGACATGTTTGCTGATTCAAGTCCCTCCAGTCAAGTTACCGAAACTGACAAGAATATGGTCGACTGTGAGAAGGAAACTTTGTCAGAAGGCTTTCATTTTCCTGTAAGGACTAACAGTGGTCCTATGGTTGAAAATGTGGAAGAAGAGGATGCTTTTAATACTGTACCAAGTACTCCCCTGTTTCAAAGATATAACCAGACTGCCAAGAGAGCGACACACAACCAGCAAGTGGATTACTCTCCTTGTCCTAACACTCACAATATTACAGAATCTGAATTTGGCCAGGATGAAGTTTTCTCTGAATGTGATGTAGTAGCCAGTACCCCTCTTCATGGGCCAGGAAAGGTGGCTACAAGGCTGTCACTGAGAGGCAAAAGAAGTGCTACTCCAGACAGCTTATGCACTGACAGAAATTCTCCAAAAGTATCTGCTGTAGAGAAGAGACACAGCTCTGAAAGTGTAAAGAGAATCAGTAGAAGCACTCCTGTACTGGTTCCAAGTAGAGGATTGAACATGGGTAGTTTAGAAAGACCCAATGATGAACCCACTTCTATTAGCACAGGCAAGCCAGGTCAGTATTACACAGTTTTCATTCTTCGTGTATATTCCAACCTTGTCAAAGTAATGGTTGCCAATTTTAGTACATGTAGCTGTATGTTATGTTAATATGTGCATTATCATGTTGGACTCGAAATATGTAATTAGTATATAGTATGTCGGGCACTATACAGGTACACGTACTAACAATTAAAAAAGTTGTGTTTAGGTTTGAATAGCAACATTCTGAAAGCTAAATAGAAAATCTTGCCTTGAATATGCATACATTTTTTTGGGTAAAAACACACATATATGATCAGACATATCATAGACAACACCTCAGTTTATTGATAATTATCATAGTTTTATACAATTTACATGTACATGGGGTTGTTTCTTTGATCTATCATCAGGTGTTTCAACTGCCACCTGGAGCTGTTCCACCTGCACCTTCCTGAATCACACCCTGTTGTCTACATGTGAAATGTGTGAATCTCCCAAACCAGGTAAAGAGTTGACCACATTTTTCGTCATAATTTGACTTGTGACTTAAGTTATTTTGGAGCAAAATTCCATGTTGACACAAATATGACACACATAATTGGCTACCACTACAGTATAATAGCATAAAAGCATAGCTTGTAAGTCCAGGCATTTAAGGTTTGTGATACCTGATGGCATTTTAACTGTTTTTCTGCTGTCTATTTCAAGTCCCAGCAAAATCTTTTTTATTGCTTAACAATACGAGAATAGAAACCTAGCAAACTATCTTCTACTCAAATGTCTATTATGATGTCAGTGCATCCCTCTTTCGAGACAGATACATTTGTACAATACTACAGTGTAGACTTTTACAATATTGATCATCATTGATATTTACAATATCAAATATAATCAATTATGATATAATATGATGTTGATAAGGTATGCTGAATACTGAATAGATAAGAGAATAGCAGAAAAATTAATAAGTAACTAGAAAGGCCAATATTTGCTTTGGAGCAAATACAGCGATGGGTTCACCACATTTTACCACATGGCAGGGAAAGAATGAGAAACACAAGGGAAAACAATGATGCGGAGCTTTTAAAAATTTAAGCTTAAAAAGCAGCCATTTGAGGGATACCCAAAGGGAAAAAATGTCATTTCTAAGGTATGTACAATGTATCCTTGATTAGTAATTTTTATATTTTTGCAGCTTGGAATCTTCACAAAATACAGAAGATACTCCAAATCAGACACAACCAAGAACAGACTCTGAGATAAATTAAATGTTAAACATAGCATCTGGTGTGCAAAGTTGTAATATTCTACATGCAAAAAAAGTAACTATAAATAATATAAGAAATACGTCTGTTTTGCCTGCTAATAGTGTCTCATTATGAGGCACTTTTAATCTCCTTTGTGCCATTTCTGTTCTGCAAAACTGGGCCGAAATTTGACGTGATTCAACACGTGGCTTTGTTGTTATTGCCAAGCTTTGATGCTGACATGATTACAGGCACACCCAGTATGTCGACATAGATCGCACAGTAGCTAAGAGCATGAAATCGGCATGGCACCAGCACTGACGCATATGTGGCAGGAAAACCCACGTGCGTCACAAAGATCACAAACGCCGTAAAGAAAAACGGCAAAAATTTGACAAGAGAGCAATAATTTGTATTTACTTGTTTAAACTATGAACGGATCCAAGGGGTGAACTCCCTTGTTTAGTTTACTAAAGTGGCAAATTTTCAACCAACGCAAGTTTGCCGCTGTGGGCTTTAGAGGCCCCTCCCCTTTTCGGGAGCCGGCTGGAACTGTAAAGCACTTTAATTATTAGGCTGGTGACTAAGTACATTGTAACTCTTTGTATTTTTTCACCTTGGCAAGATATAGAATTAATGCAATTTAGTGGAAGGTGTTTATGTCCAGAGTTACAAGGAGAGATCTGTTGAACACGGGAGGAAACATATTTGTGCTACATACATCGTGGCGTGGGAATTGTTAAATAGGCCAGCCCATATATGGCGTCCCAGAGGGAAAGCCGACACTATGAAGGGGGCGGAACATCCCTTCTACAGACTGGGCTAGACACCCTGACGCCAGTGTCTGGGAGTCAAGAGACTGCCGCTGTCACTCACAGAAGGGCGGCAACACAAGTTGTAAAGAAGCAAAGGCCCCGCCTAGGCACGCCCCATTCTCCTGGGAGGGCCGCCACGTGCGTTACTTTGCTAAAAAAACATTTTTCACATTTGATCTGGCATTTTTGAACAAAGAAATGCAGTCACAATGCCGCTACGTTGTACTGAAAATTAGCGTAGCGGGGGAAAATTGGCGTAGCGGGTCAAAATTTTAGCGTCGCGGGCCCCGACGCTACTTAGCGCTAGCTAGAACCCTGTTTACATTGATATAACTATAATATGAAGTAACATACAACTAAAACAACAGTTGGATAGCTATTCCCTACTTTATTGGTTAGGATTTTTAATTGCATAATGCAAACTGTTGATTTTCAAAATAAAATAAAAAACGTTCATGCCCCGCATTCCAATGCTGGAGCAGAAAAGCTTGAAATACCTACCAAAACACTTGAATAAAGACATACTGTCAGTATGGAAATGCTCTGTGCAGGTGTTAATCAAGTTAAATCCCAACAGCCAATCAGCAAGAAATGCTCTGTGCAGGTGGAAATGCTCTGTGCGGGTGTTAATCAAGTTAAATCCCAACAGCCAATCAGCAAGAAGTATAGAGGAAAGCTGCATGCCTATTGGTTGATGCCCTGCATTCCATTGTGATGACTCGTGCCCAGACGTGGTAAACACGGCACACTAACACAGTAATACATTTGCTATAACACAGCCAAAAAACTCAAATAAAACCATTCTAAAAGCCTGTATCACAAAAATTTAAAAAACGCCTAGGGGTATTTGCCCACTGTACCTCCATACCAAATTTCAGGACCTTAGGCCCTAAAATGAAGAAGCTGAATCCATTTAAAGATATGGCAGGAGGAGGAGAAGGAGGAGAAGGAGGAGAAGAAACATCAGAAAAAGCAATATGGGTTCACCACCACTTCGTGGTGTGGTGAACCCATAATGATTTGTTTTTTTACATGTACAAGATGTTTATTACATGAATGTCTACTCATGCCACACCAATTAAATTTCTATAGTTGGACATTATACAGTGTGCACCTAAAAGACTGGATACGCACAAAAAATGTCTTGGGTGCACCATGTAAAATAAGTAGAATGTCATCAAAACTATTTCAAAAACTATTTTTAATATGTTTTTATTCTAAAGAAAGATATTACAACAATAATTTTAATATTTTTCTGACACTTGGATGTTAAGAATATGCTGTATCCTACTATACATTTTACATCTTTACATCAGAAAACCTAAGAAAATATTTGTGTGCACTAGTGTACCTGCAGAAAAAAATTGTGTGCACAGCTCCAAATTTGGGTGGACTAAGGTGCACGCTTGTTTTCTTGAACCTGCACCTTAAGAATCTGGTTTTGGGGATAATGTTTCTACATCTTTGTACAGTGAATTTGTCTGTGAGACTGCTGGCCCTGTGCTATACGATGGATTTTCAACATCCAAGGATTGAGGGATTCTGTCAGATGGTGCAAGGGCCTTGTTTTTATCAAATTGTTTTAGATTTATGTCTTTGGTGTTCTTTGGTGGTTGGCTCACATCTTTGTACAGTGAATTTATCTGTGACACTGCTGGCCCTGAGCTATATGATTGACTTTCGGCACTCAGGGATTGATCGATTTTGTTGGATGGTGCAAGGGCCTTGTTTTTAGAGGTGGATTGATCTGGAAATGTGCCTTTCGGTGTTGGGTTTATTGGTGGTGGGCCCATGTCTACATAGGGGTTAGGCTCTGAATTAGCTGGCAGGGCATGAGTACCTTGGCTGTGTGGGGGAATGGAGCCCTCTGAAATAGTGTTGGCATCAATACCAGTAGGTATATGTCTGTTGGCTGTTCCAAGGACCTTGCTTTTAGCAGATTGCTTTGGAGTATCTTTTGGTTTGGGGTTCCTTGTTATCTTGTCCACATCTTCGTACAGATGAGGCTCTGAGTCAGCGGGCAGGGTATCATCATGTTGGCTGTGGGGGGGAATGGGATCCCCTGGGATTGGGGGTGCTAACTGTGGTGCTGTTGGAAGATTTCTAGCACCTGAAGCAACTTTGGTGTTAGGATCTGAAGGAAGATTCCTTGCCCTCCTTTTACACCAAATTGTAAAAATGATGATACCAATCAGGCCAATGATACCAGACGCTGAACCACTTGCAGTGCCAATAACAACAGATAGGGGGAACCTGGGAGCAGATTCATGGGAGCTGTTGTCATGGGAGCTGGTGCTCTCTGGTTTGTTTGTATCAACAGGCAGTGAGGCAAATGTGGTGTCTACAGGATGTGGTATTTTCTGGTCAGCACTGCATTTGGGATTGAAATACCAGAGAACTACAGGTGGCTCCTTACAGATCAAATCTTTGGGATTGATGTCTTTAAGCCTTTGTCCATTGAGGTTGGCAGGTTGGGCACATTTTATCTTATTATTGAATGAAACAGTCCCGTCCATTTCCAGCCTGGAAGGAATCATCTTACAGTCACACTGCCAGGGGTTGGGGTCAATTTCAACATTAGGAATAGATGATAATATAACATACATGTACATGTAAGATGATAAGGGAAGAGTAGATATATTGTTGCTGTACAGATATAAAACTCTGAGCCCTGGTAAGTTGGAGAATGTACCATTTGGAATCTTGCTTATGTTGTTACCATGCAGGAATAGCTGTCGGAGCTTGGGCAGATGTGGGAATGTATCTGGATGAATGTTTGTTATTTGGTTATGGCTGAGGATCAACAATTCAAGATTTGTTAAATTTGAGAGTGTACCAGACTGAATGTCCTTTATGTGGTTTGAATGAAGATTTATACGTTTTAGCTGGAGTAGATTCGAGAAAGTATCAGGATGAATCTCATTAACTTTGTTTTCGTCAAGGTACAGCTTTTTGAGCTGGGGTACATTTGAAAATGTACCATGCTCAATCTTACTTATCTTGTTTTTACGCAGGTACAGAATTTTGAGATCTAGTAGATTTGAGAAAATACCAAATTGAATCATAGTAAGTTGGTTTTTGTTGAGGCACAACTCTTGGAGCAGGGTTAAATTTGAAAGTGTACTAGACTGAATCCTAGTTATCCTGTTTGCCTGAAGGTACAGAGTTTTAAGCCAAGGTAGGTTTGAGAATGCACTCGAATGGATCTTAGTTATCTTATTATCATGCAGGTACAGAGTTTGGAGCCGAGGTAGGTTTGAGAATGCACTAGAATGGATATTAGTTATCTTATTATCATGCAGGTACAGAGTTTGGAGCCGAGGTAGGTTTGAGAATGTATCATTATGAATGTTAGTTATAAGATTAGTGTTCAGGTCTAATTCTATCAAGTTCCCATACCTTGCAAACTCTGACTGACTTATAGTTGTAATCTGATTATTT